ATAGGAGGTTAAAGACTTTTGCAGATACTTTAAGATACCATCATCTTAGGGGCACAGTCTGTTGGGCATTCAACTCTTGGTTTCGGCTCAGGTCTGATCTCAGGATTGTGAGATCAAGCCCCACGTGGAGCACTGCATGGCCTCTCATGGGGCTCCATGCTCAGTGTGGAGTCTGCTTGAGTTTCTCTCTCTCTTTCTCTATCTGCCCTTCCCCCCTCTCATTCTCTCCAAAATGAATAAATGAATCCTTATAAAAAGAGACAACATCGTATTAGTAAGCTATTTCCCTCACTAGTAAACCTTGTTCTTCTTTATACTGGGAAAGGAAAACTTATATATTTCCTCATTCTCTAAAATGTACTTACTGGATAACTTCTTAAACAACTTTTATTCATGGATGATACATTATTCACTACTTTCTAATTATTATAAGAAATGTATACAGTTGGAAATTACTGTGTCCTTCTCTTTGCTTCCCCCATTTAAATTAGCTCTCCCACTTAAACATCTTTCTGAGTTTCTAACTATATGTGTTTGTGCTTTTGCTGATTAACTTCCACATGAGTTTCCATGATTTTCAGAACGCAGCACCCCTTCACCCTCTGCAAACCTAAAAAGCTCTTCTACCTCTGGGGAGTGAATTTCAGTGATTTCTCTGCTTATTTTCTGAGCTCTCTACATTTCTATAAAGCTGTCTTGCTGGTGACTCAGAGAAACAGCAAATCTGCTCCCTCCCACTATGGAAAGGACACAGCTCAGTAAGGGACACTGCCATTTATACAGAGGCTCAAGCCAAAAATCTGGCATCACCCTTGATTCCCTCCCTCTCTTCTTTACTCTCACAGTCGGTCTATTTCTATCTCCTATTGATTCTTTTTCCTCAGTGCCCCTCAAACCTGCAGACTTTGCTCCAGCACTCTAACCTTAACGCAGACATTCATAACTGGATTACTGCCTTATAATTAGTCTCTAGGTCATCTATTATGCCTATGTCTATCCAGCAGATAGAGTCGTCTTTAAAACTTGTCTATCTGGCCTTGTTACAGCCTAATCAATGATACTGAGTGCCCTTCCATTGCCAAAAGGGCAGAGAACAAATTCCTTGATATGGCTTCTGCCCCCTTGTGACCTCATTCTTGAGTCTCTTAAGCATCATCTCTCACCACTCTCCTCACAATCAAGCCATACCCAAATGTGCAGATTTCCTTGATGTCACCATACTTTTAAATTTATATGTCTTTATTCAGGTTGTTTCTTTGGCTTAGCACATACCCCTTCTTTCTATCTTGGAAAAGGTCTTCTCTGACTCTGAGCAAGGCTGTTTCCCACACCCATCACGGTTTGTAACCACTTGCCCCATGCCTGAGGAGCCATGTCTGTTTTGTCTATTCCAGCATCCCCAGCACTGAGCACAAAGTAGTCAGAATAAAGATTTGTTAGCCAAATGAGAAGTATGATTCTAACCGAAAGCTCATTGTTTTTGAAAACTCATTATTGAAAAGAACTGAGAGTGAACATAATTATTAGAAAATGTAAGAAACTTTTTTTTCAAGAGGCACAATTTGTCACATTTGATCTCTAGTGAAATCTGCAACATTCCAGGGTTTAAATCCCAAATGTTAAGTCTCCAGTCAGATTTGCAGTTCATCAGACCTACAAGCCAGACTGGTGTTTAGCTGCCCAAGTTGATATCTGAGCTGACACATTTTATTTTGACTGTTTGAGATTAGCTTCCACAGCTGTTGTAGTACTGTATTGTCAATCATTTGCCTTTTAGATGAGACTTTTTAACCAATTTGAAGGAAGAAAAAAAAAAACCTTCAGAAGACTTATTTTTCAATGTTTTAGAAGTACATAACTACATTCTCCTCATAGATATCCATTTGCAGCTCTCAGATTGTGTATATTCTTTACAAGAAAAAAAAACAGTGAGTGGGACTTGAGGCTATATCCTAAGGGTTTTTTTTTTTAAGATTTTATTTATTTATTTGATAGAGACATAGAGAGTGAGAGCACACAAGCAGGGGGAGAGGCAGAAGCAGAGGGAGAAGGAGAAGCAGACTCCCAGTAGTGCAAAGAGCCCGATTAGGGGCTCAAGCCCAGGACCCCAGGATCATGACCTGAGCCGAAGGCAGACACTTTAGCACTTTGGGAAAACTTGGTTTTTATTTTCAAAGACTACATATTAAAGTTTTTTCTACTGAGGACAAGTTAAAAAATTAGGATATAAGGGCGCCTTATATCCTAATTTTTTAACTTGTCCTCAGTAGAAAAAACTTTAATATGTAGTCTTTGAAAATAAAAACCAAGTTTTCCCAAAGTGCTAAAGCCCAGGATAAAACGTTTAAGCTTCACTGCCTTTGTTCCACAAATGTTCACCAGACACTCCGGGCTGGTGACAAGTGCTGTGGTGGAATCATATTTTGTTGTGTTTTATAATGTGCTTTGATCCTCTACTTCTTGTTACCTCATGACCCTTTTAACAGCAGCTGTGCATCCACTTGTATATGAAGGGGAAGGTTTTTACAGAAGAACACAGGAAAAAAAAAAAAAGATCCCAGGCCTTTAAGCTTTAAATTTTAAACCATGAAAGACTTGAGACATAATACTTTTCAAACCATGTAATCAGTTGGAACAGTTTTTTCCACCCCCAGATTAGTCTATGTCAAGAGAAAAGAAGAACAGAAAAGAGAACAGAAGGGGAATGAGAAGAGAAGGGAGAGGCACGGGGAGGAGGAGGAGGGAAAGAGCAGAGGAAGGGGGAGCTAGGAAACAAAGAATGAGACGCTGAGAGATCCCCCATACAGGACCCTGTTCTAGACCTCCCTGGACTCTATTCAACTGGAGAGAAGGTTGGCACCTCCTGATAGGTTTAGGGATCTGTGTAAATGGGAGCCCATCCCACCTTTCCCTGGTGGGTTGTGAAAAGGAACAAGGCATCTGAATTTTCCTATGCTTGCTGTTGAATCAGCTAAGATCTAAAAAATAAAACAGAAAGAACTCTAATTAAAACTGAGAAATGTCATTGTGACAGGGAATTGGCTACATTTGTGGCAGAGAAACTGAGAAGCCAAATAGGATAATGACAAATCTAGAGATGTGAGCAGCAGCAGGAAGCCACTACTCCCCCTGCGCTGGAAGACCAAGGAGAACAGATGTGATTAGACCCCAAGGGCCAAGGTCACCAGGGAAGCTGGAATCATAGGAGGCCTGAATGGAAGGGAGAAGATCACAAAGGAAATGCAGCTATTGCCACTGTTGCTGATGATGCAAAGAAAGGTGGAGGTAAACTCTGGCCTTTTCCTTCTTAGTCCCCTTCAATTGCTCATGAATGTCTCACAAGCACCAAATCCAACTGAATCAAGAGGACATGAGTCAGCCATTCTGCGGCAGAGTGAGAGAAGGGTGAGGCATGGGCCTGAGGGGAGAGCACGAAAATGTCTGCAGGGGATGTCTAGGACTATGGACCTAAGACCTCCTCACAGATTCCCCATACCCAGAGGGGCCCAAAGCAAGGCACACATGACAAAGGAGCCAGAAGACTTTACCCAGAGGGGCCCAAAGCAAGGCACACATGACAAAGGAGCCAGAAGACTTAAAGGGGCTTTGGAGCTGGGATTAGGAAGACACATCAGGGATCTAACAAAACAGGAAACCAAAGACCAAATGAGCTCACAGCCATCCCAGTGTGTCCCAGCTTGGACAGAAAACAACACTGAAAAGATCAGGCTTGCCTCCACCATAACAAGTTGACTCCATGTAACTGCCTCCACCCCCTCTGGTACCACACATAGATGACACTACCAAGGAAAGGGAGAGGAGAACTTCTAGCAGAATGGAGACTGAATTTAAATTCCCTCTTAGATAAAAAAAGGAAAGACCCTAGTCTTACATCTAGCCCACTAAATGTTGGGGAAGAATAGATACAACATGGATTATCAGTAATGCAGTGAGAAATGGAGAGAAATGGGTCATGTCCAAGGATGTGCTGGGGCCGGAGATCCACATAGAGAAGTAGTTCTGTACTTGCCTGGAAGGAAGGGCTTTTTAGAAAAGGCCTCACTGGTGATATTTGATGAGCTTGAGGGATGAACAGGGATTTAGCAAGCAGATGGGAGAACCTCACCTCTGTTGTCTTCCTGTATCTCTTCCACTGCCTGATCTTCAAGAGAAGCCAATGCATTCCTTATCTAACTACAGCCCATTAAAGTCTTTCAGAAACCTGGCAAATCTCTCCAGATTTACCTTCCTTTTGATTGGTAAGTGGGGCAGTGCTGGAGTGATAGCATGAGTATGAACCAAGTTTCAACTCTGATGAGTAGCATCAGCAGCTTGCAAAAAATCAGTGCCTTTTTTAAAAATTAAGATTTATTTATTTATTTTGGTGGGGGAGGGGCAGAGGGAAAGAGAGAGAGTCCTAGCCAGGCTGTGTGCTGAGCATGGAGCCTGACGAGGGGCTCAATCTCAGGACCCTGAGAGGACAACCTGACCCAAAACCAAGAGACTGACATTTAACTAACTGTGCCACCCAGGCAACCCAGAAATTTAGTTCTTCAAAATGTATTCTTTTGTAGATTTGATAAGGCCATTTCTAGACTTCAGTTTTGAACTAAAGAGTGAGATCTCAAGGTACTCAGGTAGTCTTACAAAATGTTCAGTCCACAAGAAAAACAGATATAAGCCAACTGGAATATATTATGTCCACATTACCAAACTTCTATAATGGAACAGATTTCAGATCTATCATGTAACATTCCAATCTGTCAAGACCTTGTTCAAAATACTGAATTTGCCATTTTGTAAGCAGAGAAACAAGACCATTGATTTACAAATAACCTCATCTGTCACTATTCCGGAAACAATATTCCTAATCTTACCTTTATAATAATAATTTAGGAAGTAAAAATAATTGATAATCTATTCATTGTTTACAAAGTGAAAAACGATTATATTACTGGAAAAAATAAAAGGCATTGAACTAGTCTGAAAATTTTCTTTACCTCGTTAGAGATGTGTGTTCCAGAGAGATCTACTGACAGCAAGGAAAAGATGTTTACCATATATTCAATTCCTAGGTCAGTCAAATATTCACAATTTCGTAAACTCAAGTAGTTTAAATTAGGGCAGCTGAAAGAAAGCAGTATGAAGAATTAATTTTAGCTTTTAATCACAGTGTCAGTAATAATTTCTTTATATCAAAACTATCTAAGAGAAGCAAATGTTATTGAAGCAAGGACTTTCTTTTTCTTAAAATAAAAGTAAACTTTAAAGTGGAAAATAATTTGGCATTACAAAGTAGGATGAAAGGGAGGTAGATTATTATATATTATATATTACTATATATTATATATGTATCATTCCTGTAGCAAATATTTTATATACATATATGTGTGTGTATATATATATATATATATATATATATATGATTTCATTTCAGATAACAATTTCCAATAAGAAAAAATATCACACGTATACAAAAAGCTATCATGTAAGTATGATGAATGACCACTAAAAGTACAAGGTCAGTCCCTTACACGTTTGCTACAGGAATTGACCCCTACTTTTGTACACAAGATCTCTGACAAGTAGGAGGATCAGGAATAAACCCACCAGCTAGAACATCTCTTGGGAAACGCTGGAGTGAAGATTTATGTAGAGATAATATCCTTGAAAAGTGAAGAAAAGCCACTCATGTCTAGATAGTGATAACTTCGTTAATGACTCCATCTCAAACATTCTCTAATGTCAGATTAATAAGAAATATCTCAGATATGATCAAAAGACTAGTTTAATCTGACTCCAATGTCTTTTATTTTATTTCACTCATTATTAGACCAGTTTCTCAGTCTCCTGGTGTTTCCCAAATGTCTCTGAAGGTCTATCTCTGATGTCTCCTATTAGCAGATACACAATTTCTAATGATATGATATAAAATTTTATTGTTTTATCATACCGCTCTGATAGTTTCACAATAGAGACATCACTCAGGTGGATACAGTTACTTAAATTTAGCTCTCTTATCCTTATGCTCACAGGACCATCAAGAAATTGCTTTAGTCCCATATCACCAATTCTGTAGGAAAGAGAAAAGCTTTACATGTGATTTTAATGTAAATATATAGAGTATTACTTAAGTAATAGTTACTATATTCAATACATTCTAAAATAGCATGGTAATATCTTTATATGGGTATTGTGTTAACATTTTAAAACCAAATTTGATCATATAACTTTCAGTATAATAGAAAAAGTATAAATGATAGCAATGGGAGAAGTATTTATTAACATGTTCTTCCTATTCATTGTTCATTTAATTAGATGGCATGATTATTAGAATGATTAATAAGACAGATTGTCCTTAAGGTCTCTTTGGGGTTAAAATGTGATCAAGTTAAGCAGTCCCTGATGCAGTTTCTTGCAAAAAAGTAACACTAAAACTTAGAAGAGGGAGAACCGAGACTAACAGTCAAACTATGGCCAGAATCTTAGAGGAATTTTCACTAAATATAAGATCAAGTTAGCTGGGCTGAAAAGTCCAGTGAGTGACCTATGGATTTCTTTTCTGCTGAAGTACAGAAAACCTGGAAGAAGACCTTGACCTCAGTCTTCTCACACTCTCTATCCCTAATCAGAGACACCTGTGTGTTGGTGCCATTTCCACCACCCGCCTCATCCCGAACCATGCTTTATAAATGACTGGAGGTCTGTTTGGCCCATCTGTTCCCTGTCTTCCATTGGGAGCTCTATTTCTAATTCCATTTGGAGACTGCCAGTCCCTTCTAAAAAGCATTTCAGTAAATAAAGCACAACAGGAGGTTGCACACTGCATCCTAAGAGAGGTGGCTTTCACACACAATAATCCTGCACGTAGGTGTACTGATTGGAAGAGCCTTGGGAGCCATAGATGTTGATTGCTGACATCTCCTATACCCTCTGTTTGGTCAGATTTACAACGAACCGAGCAGTACAGGCAGAAGGTGAATGGGCCTGTTTCAGTTGAATGGGCCACATTAAGTGGATACCTCCCATGTCCATCAACTAACTCCCTGTCCATATGTAATGAGGGCACTGTGGCAGCAGTTACCTGGTGGGTGGGGGAATGGGAGGGGAAAAGGGAGAAGGAGATTTCAAACACAACTGATCAACTTGTCTCTTGGCAAACACCAGGGCTGGAGTATTCATTGAGAGATATTTTTACTAACCGGAAAACAAATACGGCATGGCATTTGTAAGACTTAAAAAAGCATACCTCTGAAGATGATTTTTTAAAAATTAGAACATCTTAAACAGTGTAGAGAAGCAGTAGGAATTAATAAGGAGCAACCTGGCTGTAACAAAAATATTCTAAGATGCATTCTAAGATGAGGGAAGCAGTAGGAATTAATAAGGAGCAACCTGGCTGTAACAAAAATATTCTAAGATGCATTCTAAGATAAGGGGCACCTGGGTGGCTCAGCGGGTTAAAGCCTCTGCCTTCGGCTCAAGTCGTGATCCCAGGGTCTTGGGATTGAGCCCCATATCAGGCTCTCTGCTCAGCAGGAAGACTGCTTCCCTCTCTCTCTCTCTCTCTGCCTGCCTCTCTGCCTGCATGTGATCTCTGTCAAATAAATAAATAAAATCTTTAAAAAAAAAAAGATGCATTCTAAGTTGAAAAGATGGCCACCTGAGATAAAGAAGAGATGGCAAACACAGCATTATTTTTCTAGATAGCCAGGCTTTTCTAGATATGTCTTCTAAGGCAAGGGATACAAAGCAAAAATAAACTATTGGGGAATGACATCAAAATGGAAGCTTTTGTAAAGCAAAAGAAGCCAACCAAACAAAATGGCAACTTACTGAATGGCAGAAGGTGTTTGCAAATTATATCTGATAAGAGGTTAATATCTAAATATAAAAGAACTGATAAAAGTCAGCTTTTGGTGGCAGGGTCTGGAGAAGGGGTGGCAGGTGCCATGTCCAGCCACAAATGTGGCAGGAAGAAGCCCCTGAAGTAGCCCAAGGAGACAGACAAAGAGGAGAAGGTTTCAAGCAGAAACAAAGAGGAGCAGAAGAAATTTAAGGAGCTAAAAGCAAAGACCATGGGGAAGGGCCCCCTGGCCATAGATGGAATTAAGAAATCTGGCAAAGGGTGCCTAGGTGGCTCAGTAATCAGTTAAGCATCTGCCTTTGGCTCAGGTCATGATCTCAGGGTCCTTGGATGGAGTCCTGTGTCGGGCTCTCTACTCAGCAGGGAGTCTGCTTGCCCCCTCTCCTCTGCTGTTCTTTCTCTGTCAAATAAATAAATAAAACCTTAAAGAAAAAGAATTCTGGCAAAAATTAAGTGGCTCCTTGTGCCTGAGGCAATGGTGATACTTAATTCCATTCCTGTTTAAACATCTGGATTCCCTGTCATAGCATCTGTTGTTACCTACAGCTAGAATGGAGTTTTGTCTTAGATCCTGTTATACATTTAAAAATAAATTTTTTAAAAAGAAAAACCAATCAATCATTTAAAAAAAGAGCTTCTACATGTCAACACCCCAAAAATCCAATTAAAAAATGAGCAGAGGACCTGAATTGACATTTTTCGAAAGAAGACCTATAGATGGCCAACAGACACATGAAAAGATGCTCCACATTGCTCATCACCAGGGAAATGCAAATCAAAACTACAGTGAAATATCACCTCACAACTGTCAGAGTATCTGGTATCTAAAAGACAAGAAATAATAAGCATCTGTGAGGATGTGGAGAAAGGGGAAAATTTGAACACCATTGATGGGAATGTAAATTGGCACAGCCACCATGGAAAAGAGTATGGAGTTTCCTAAAAAATTAAAAATAGGACTACCTTAGGATTCAGCAATTCCATTATTGGATATTTATCTGAAGAAAATGAAAAACACTAATTCAAAAAATATATATCCACCCCATGTTTATTGCAGCACTAGTTACAATAGCCAAGATATGGAAGCAATATATTCGTCAGTTGATGAATAGATAAAGAACAGGTGTATGCATACATATACACACACACTATACAATACACACAATAGAATATTATGCAGCCATAAAAATGATGAGAGCATTTGAGACAACACAGATGGACCTAAGTGAAATAAGTGAGTTTGAGAAAGACAAAACCATATGATTCCACTCATAAATGAAATCCAAAAAACCCCATATGATTCCACTCATAAGTGAAATTAAAAAGAGAAGAAAACCAAATGAATAAACAAACAAAAAGCTGAATCAGACCTATAAATACAGAAGACGAACTGATGGTTGCTAGAGGGTAGAGAGATGGGAGGTTGAGGCCTTAGAGGAAACACAAGGGAATAAAAGGCACAGCATAAGCAATACAGTTAATGATATTGTGATAATGATATAACAGGACAGATGGTAGCTACATACAGATGGTGAACACAGCATAATGTATAAAGGTGTCAAATCACTAAGTTGTACACCTGAAACTAATGCAACATTGTGTGCCAACTATAATAAGTAAGAAAAAAAAGAACAGATGATAATGAAACTAAAAATTCAATGATAAGAATAATAACCTATTTTAAGTCATCAAAACCAAAACTGACCCTTTTAGAATACTGAATTAATAAGTAGAAGGCATATTTGCAAGGTCCCCTGAAATGCAGAAAGATAAAGAAATTAAAATAAATGACATCAGGGGCACCTTCGGCCCAGGTCATGATCCCAGGGTCCTGGAATCGAGCCCCAAGTCAGGCTCCCTGCTCACCAGGGAGCCTGCTTCCTCCTCTCTCTGCCTGCCTCTCTGCCTACTTGTGATCTCTGTCTGTCAAATAAATAAATAAAATCTTTTTTAAAAATGACATCGAAAATAGAGAAGTAGGATTCAATCTTTAAGAAGAGTCTCGAAAAAAATATAAGAATAAACAAAAACAAAGCAATAATCAGAGATATGTAAAAGCTTTTAAAGTGGCAAAATATGATCTGTACATTAAAAAAGAGAGAATAGGGGCACCTGGGTGGCTCAGTGGGTTAAGTCTCTGCCTTCGGCTCAGGTCATGATCTCAGGGTCCTGGGATCCAGTCCCGCATTGGGCTCTCTGCTCAGGGGGGAGCCTGCTTCCCCCCACCCCCTCTCTCTACCTGCCTCTCTGCCTACTTGTGATCTCTCTCTCTCTGTCAAATAAATAAATAAATAATCTTTAAAAAAAAAGAGAATAAAAACAAAAAGGTGAAAAGTAAGTACAAATTGTAGAAACATAGAAGAAACCAAAGAAGACCTAATGTATCAGTTTTATAATAATTATAAATATAAATAAGTTGAAAAATTATAAATATTTATAAATATAAACAAATAAGACCCAATATATCAGTTTTACAATAATGATAAATATAAATAAGTTGAAATAATGATAAATATAAATCCCCTATTAAAAGATAAGAGATTGTCAAATTGGTTTAATAAATAAACCTAAATTACAAGTAGCCTCCAAGAAACACATTTAAAATAAAATGACAACACAACTGGGACGCCTGGATGGCTCAGTTGGTTAAGCGGCTGCCTTCAGCTCAGGTCATGATCCTGGCGTCCTGGGATCAAGTCCCACATGGGCTCTCTGCTCAGCAGGGAGCCTGCTTCCCCCTCTCTCTCTGCCTGCCTCTCTGCCTACTTGTGATTTCTCTCTCTCTCTGTCAAATAAATAAAATCTTTAAAAAAAAAAAAGACAACACAACAAAAAAATTACAAAGATGTATTGGGCAAATATAAGTAAAAATAATATAGCCATGGCAAATAATCAGTACATTGAGTCAAAATTCTATGCTAGGGGCACCTGGGTGGCTCAGATGGTTGAGCATCTGCCTTTGGCTCAGGTCATGGTCTCCAAGTCCTGGGATCCAACCTCATATTGGGCTCCTGGCTCAGTGGGGAGTCTGCTTCTCCCTCTCCCTCTGCCTCTCCTCTTGCTTGTGTTCTCTCTGTCTCTCTCTCTCTCACAAATAAATAAATAAATAAATAATCTCACACACACACACACACACACACACACACACACACACACCCACTATGCTAGTAAAAATATTAAACAAGGACTACAAGGTAATTTTATGC